CCTGGCTGTCAGTATCCCATGTGCTTCTGCTGCATTCTCTTTTCCCGCTGCAGCTGCTCTCTCTCTTTCTTCTGTCATTTTTTTTCGTCTTTTCTCTTTCTCTTCTCTTTTTGTCCACACCAATGTTGCTCTGTCACTAATCGGCGTGCTCTCTCAGTCTGGATCTTGTGCCGTCCGTTCGCTTTTCCTCTTCCTTCGTCGCGAGCTTTCTCCTTCTTCCTTTCCGGTGAACTCCGATCTTCTCTGTAAGCTTCCTGTTTTCCTCCCCCCTCTGGAGTTCGTATTTTTTTTCGTCCCTTGTCTGGTGACGTGCAGCCTTTTTTTTTTTTTTTTTCTCATCCACGATTTTCTTCTTACTGACAAAGAGGTGCCGTCTCCGTTGTTGGTTGCTGGTTTAGGATCTTGTGCCGTTCGCCTGAGTTCTCTTCCTCCTCTTTCGCTGTAAGCCTTCTTCTCCTTCCTGTCCAATGGAATTGCGTCTTTGCTACGAGCTTCTTCTGTACCCTTTTTTTCTTTGCCTGGAATTCATTTGTGCTGTGCTTTGTCCGGTGAGGTCCATTATAGTTCTTAGTGCACTGTTCATTTGTGCTGTGCTTTGCGCTGTGTTCGGGAACCTTGTCTTTCTCTTGTATTCTTGCGCTGTGTTGGGTTCTCTGTGCTTGCTGGCTCAAGACGGCTAGCAAAGGCCTTTTCTATGTCTTTGTCTCCTTTGTTCTCATATGCTGTTTGTTCCTTGTTTTTTTCTTATCTAAAAAAAAAGGGTCCTTGTCATGTCTGCCTGGATGTGTTGAAACCGGTATCTCCTGCAAATAAAGCTCTATGTCTTTTGCCTAAAAAAGATTCCTAAAAAAAAATCTTTCTCTATCTGCCTTTCTTGTTCACGTCCGCTATTTTGGGCCCTGCAAGTTGCTTGTGTTTTTGCCTTTTGTTAGTTACCAACTTCTTAATCCTCAAATCAAATCTTATGAAGTATTTCAGACAATTCCATACCACAGTTTTTTTTTTTAACTTCTTTAAAAAATGTATACAAAAACAAACCTTTGTTTCAAAAGAAGCATCAAATAGTCCTAAAAAAATTAGTGTTGGTATCTCTTCTCCTACCAATAGTGCCTGATCTTCTGGCTGCACCATATGGTGGTGTGGATCATATTTGCACAAAGCCATCACTGACAAAGCTTGAAACTACTGGTGATACAACAAAATTTATGCCTGGGTTGTTTTGAAGAGTTTTCAGCGATCTAGCATCGCTTGTTTGTTTTTACAATTCTTGGTTTTTTGACAGTATTGGCAATTGCCACGGCTTGGGTATTGATTAATGTTATTGCAGTTGTGTTTGCTATAAAGTTTTGTCTTTTCTGGGCAATTATACTGTAAATTTCCAATCCTCCAGAGAATTCTTCCATAATTGATGAGGTAAGTTCCCCAACAGTGAAGTAAAAATGGGTTGCAAACTGTAATTCAATTCTTTTTTGTAGATTCTATCAGACCAATCACTATACAAGAATTGCAGTTTTTTTCTTTTATTTGTTTGCCAAATCGCCTCCTAATGTTGGCAAGAAGAAAGTTTGGATTTTTTTTAAGTTTGGTCTGTTTGCCTTTCATTAATCTTGTGGAAAATGATGGAGTATTACATTGGCCAAATTTCCCCTTAATTTCTGGAAATGTATGTTCCAGAGGCTATGTAGATGTGTCTTTGATGAGTTTGCTGCTAAATTCATAGTTAAGATTTGAATAGTTGGAAATTAAAAGACCACATTCACATTTTTATGTCAAAGAAGTTATAAAGGATGCAAACCATTGGTAATTTACATGGATGTCCATGTATTTTGTTAATGTGTTTACAAGTCGCAACGATTTGTCCAGGTAATTTTCTAAATGAATTTATGGGTCGCAGGTCTAATAGAGATGAGGTAGCAAAAAGTAAGTTTTTTGTCATTTAAGTGAGATTTTATGAGGTAATGAGCCACTATAATTTATTTGAAGACAATTTAAAAGAATAATGGAAATATAAATGAGCCTCTTTACCTTATAAATGATTTTATAATCTGAATAAAAGCTTAACCCTTTGTAATCAATGAGTCCAGGTGTTTTCCATTGGAAATATAACAAAATCATTATATTCTCGCAATTCTCCTATGAACAAAATTTTGTTAGCCAGTTTTGACTAGGAAACTCCTCAAATGTATAACTACGTCAAACTCCAACTATCAAGAGCAATCATGCTTATCTTTTCATCTTTTTCATAAGAAGTTCCAATACCGATTATAATTTATAGTCACCCGTGCATAATCTTTTTCTTCTATTAAATTACAGGTAATAGAGTTCAATTTGTTAATATACATAGCCATGATTTAGTGGTACAAATGGTAGCTGACAGTGTCGATTTTGATTTTCATTTTCAAGGGAGACTCCAATTTATAAAAGGCAAAAAGGAAAGGAAAGAAGTTAAGGCTTTGACAATCAAACCTTAGACCTCACAATCACTTGATTAGCGTCTTCACTAATTAACTAAAATTTTTAATGTTTCAATTTTGACCTTAAGCACATATTAGAGGATTTGGTAATGGTAGTTATTTAGACAAAAAATGATAATAATATGTAATGCTACGGTTCATACGATATTGAATCTGGACATTTTTTGCCCCAGGTGGTAAATGTTTGGTCCACAACTAGACTAGGCTGCAACTTGATAAACTTTTTAACTTGTCATTGTGCATATTTTGATTTTGCCTTTATAGGAAAATTTTCTTTTACAGAGACTGCCATGCACACCTGCAACTAGATTACATAATGTAACAACCATTTGAGTTCAGTGCAAAAACGATGATAAATCTCAAAGTCCAGCTGTGGAAGACTTGAGAATGTTCATAGTCAAAAAAATATTTGCTTTCCCTTAACCTATAAAAGTTAGCCAATTTCTTGCGTACATACAGGCTGGAGAATATTGATGGAAAGAATAATTTAAGGTCCTTCAGTCCACTTTCTTTCTTTAGGAGTAATGCTAATAAATTAAGAAATTAGTCAAGTCTCATTAGTTATATAGTCACAAATGAGGAAATTAATTTGAGGTGAATCTCTGCAATAAATCAAACAAGGTCAAAGTTAAACAGACTCAATTTGTTCATCATCAGCGCAGTTTAAACAATTGAAACACAATTATTAGTGCCAATACGATGTCGGGAAAGAGAAGCCCAAAAAAAGAAAAAAAAATACAGAAAGGTAATCAGACTGCTTAGACATGTGACATCTCAGCCCGCTTCTTCATCAAATAGCTAATTTCTTTCATGCTAAAGGATTAATAACGCGGCAGTTTTTCCTAATTTTTCCGGCGGTTCCAGACAGCACTCTTAGGAGAAATTTCTTTGAAAATTGCACTTAGCTACTGGTTCACATCTCTCTTTTTTTATTCTACTCCATTTGCGTGCTTTCTGTTGCATTATCAGCTCTTGAATCCTGTTGCCCATTTGGGCTATGCTTTCTTTTGCATTCTTTCGATATATTCCCATTCTTCTAGCCCCTGATGAATTTAGCCTTTCCTCAACTTGCCTTTGTTTCCGTTTTCGATTTTTTAGATGACCATCGAGCCTTTACGCGTCTCTGAGGTCCATAACTCCCTGCCCCGTTGGACTTTTGTGATCCAGGTTATTGAGGCTTCTCATCTAAAAACAACCTATGCAGATCATGCATCCAGGATGTATCGCCGCTTTGTCTTTGCTGATTCCCACGTATGTTTTCTTTTGATTCTTTTATTGTTATGTTATTTCTCCCCGCTCCGCTGTGGTTAATTTTTTCCCACTGTCTTTTTGTCTTGTGATGGATAGGGTGTCAAGGTTTCTGCTGTCGCCTTTGATGATAATGTTGCTCGCATAATTGAATTAAAAGAAGAAGATGAAGATTTGAGAAGCTGGTACTGGAATCCTCCAGAACGTGTGGTCGGCATCATTTCCATCTCAGGTTTTGGGACTTTGGTTTCATCTTTAAGATTTCTGGAGTTCATCCTCGTAGATAGAGTTTTGTAATTATGTATTTTGCTGAAGGATCCCTTTTTTTTTGCCCCCTCTCTCAAGAATGGATTCCTTGACTTCTCTGGGAGAAGCTTATGCTACACGTTGTGAGGAGGAAGGCTTTGGAGGTGTCATCCTCGTGACTGATAAGATGGCTGAAGCTCCCAATGAAGAAACGGCAGCCGGGTTTGCACTATTGCTACCTTATTTCTTTACTATATTCTGACGATCCCCTTTTTAAGATTTCTGGGATTCATCAACGTAGACAGAATTTTATAATTATGTGTATTTTCCTGCTCTCGGTATATTTGAGTTCTCATATTTTTCCTGCTCTCGTATATTTTATCTCATATGAATCACGAAGATTTGGGATAGGGTCTAATTTTTGCACTTATAGTTCAAAAATTATATTGATATAAATGTTTTCACTATTTTGAGAGCATGATAAGATAACAAAATCTAAATCTGGATGATGTTTACAAGTTTAAGTAGGTTTACATTAGCATTTGATCTGATATCAATGAAAAAATCTGTTTGCATTTTGGTTGTTGATTTTGGCAGAAAATGACCATTAGCATTTTGGGTGAAAAGAGGAGAGGTTTTTTTTTTTTTTTTTGGCTAGAAATTTTTGAGAGTACCGGACAATGTAACACAATCACTTTGTAGTTTTAAGTGGAAATAGCGAATCCATTTTGGATGAGTTTATATAGATGTAAACAAAACAATAATAGTTTTATTTAAACCCAAAGTAGTTACTAAAAAGTCTTTTAGACCCCTTGTTGAAACAAAATTTCTGCTATTTGCTTATATTGTGTTCTTTCTTTTTTATTTTGTTTTGTTTTGTTTTGTTTTCCATTGTGTTTGTTTATAAGCGCTTGTTCTTGGTGTTTTCAAGATAAAGTTCTTGATGTGGTTGCCAAATTTATAGCTACTCATCTTTCTCAACAACAACTTGATTTCCCTTATCTTGCATTGCCTTTGCCAGAATAGATGTAAGCAAAGGGTGATGACAAGATGAAAATTGGAATATGAGAGAGAAGACACCCAATTTATGTCGAGATGTAACAGAGTAAGAATTGTTCTCCATCTAGAAAAAATCCAAGGACAAAAAGAGTACTTGCTCCATATATTCTTGACTGGTTCTTTTTGCCTGCATGTCTTATATTCGTTCTCTTCTTTTGAACTGTCCATCTGCCTAATGTGCCACTTTATCCTCAATTGTAAGTCGTCCATTAGTTATTAAAACATATATAATTGATATTTTTTCCCTTTCCATATATTCAGATGAGAGAAGCTATAAGTGATGCTGCTCTGACATTGCCCTACTGGAATAATTACAACAAGATGCAGAATACAGATCTGAGGTATATCCTCCTAAATTCTTAAAATGCCCATCTCAATTTTTAGGTTTATGCACAGGTCTAAGTAAAGTCTATTTGGATGATTTTTTGAATATTAATGTTTGGGCTTTTGGTTTGCTGGGAGTCAGACTTGGAGTAGGTTTCATGAGAACGAACTTGTTGGATTTAGTCATTGCTTTATGAAGGCTAAAGAAGTGGTGTGAAAAGGGTGAAGTTTTTTTCTAAATGACAAGCTTCTACCTGTTGATTAGCTATATATTCTTGCATTTGTCTCTCTTTAATTCGAGGTTGTTTACTCTACCTCTTTACCTGCTTAACCCCCTAAAGAAAATGGTGGGTATTATTCTTGTTGTCCTTAATGAATGAGTCCAATGTTGCGTTTTATAATAAATGTTGGTTATTTACTACTTTCTATTTTATAGGTGGACAACAATTACCCAGTGAGTCCACCATGGTATGGTCTATGCTCCAATAGGATACACATTTGGAGCAGGAATGTTTTAAGATAGACGGCCTGAGAGGAGGTTCCCCTTATGGAGCAGGAGTTTTCTTAGGAGACCACACAAGGGAACCCACTGAAACAAAGCCCACACTGGTGGAGCACCTGGGAAAGTATATGGCATTGATGGCGAAGAGGTTTGCCCTGCCTCATTCCTTCACAAATGATCACAAAGACAGTAGCTAGCCCCTGCAAAAGCCGTTTTGGTTGTTATGCTATTGTATATTGTAATTCCATTTTTTGCCTTGTATCTATACCAATGGCACTTTACCTTTGTGATTTTGGAGGGTGTGAGAGCATACTCCTTGTGTGTAAATAGTTGACAAAATTGGTACTCATTCCAAAGCGGATCGGTATTTGTGCATTCTTTGTTCACAGGAGGTTCCCAAGTATGCAATGTAGAAGACTCCATGAAATAAGGACTCGTTGATTTATTCCCCATTTTAGAATTTCTTTTGCTGTTATTTTCTTGAAGAGGAAAGGCATATAAAATTTTACTCCTGTTGTTTTGGCTTCAGAATTTATCTTTAGTCGAATTATGTAAACTAAGAAAGTGCATCACAGCATGGTGATTGCTGATTTTTATATTGTTAGATGAAATTTGTATCCATCCCTTCATGATTTTCCTGCTCTTGGTATATTTGAGTTCTCATATTTTTCCTGCTCTCGTATATTTTATCTCATATGAATCACGAAGATTTGGAATAGGGTCTACTTTCTGCACTTATAGTTCAAAAATTATATTAATATAAATGTTTTCAGTATTTTGAGAGTATGATAAGATAACAAAATCTAACTCTGGATGATGTTTACAAGTTTAAGTAGTTGCATCATTGGAAAATTGATGGATCTTATAACTAAATCATAATGCAATCTAGCCTTGAGATAGCAAACGTGGATGGCAATTTGGACAAAATTCTCTAATATTTTGATATTTTGTTGAGAATAACACTTACTATTTTTTACATGATTACATACTTAGGAGGCTTGAGCTTTTATTGATCAAGGATGCAGCCATCCTCAATTCCGCTGGCTTAGGGGTGCCCTTGTTATATTAAAGTTTGCTCTAATTTTGGTTTATTTGTACCATTAATGGATCTATTTTGGATTAAGTACAAATCATTTTACTGAACTGGGCATCTCCATCTATTTTTCCCACCGTGCATAGCACGGTTTATACCTCCTAGTCCAAAATAGTACATGCAAGGACAAAGAAAATTTCAGCCCACCAAATATTACATGAGACTTGAGAGGAGATACAGCCTGGATGGAAAAAGCAGGCTCCTACAAATTTTCAGCCCATTTAAGACCAATAAGGGGGCCAATTTATGCACCAACCATCTGATATTTTAACTCGTTGTGGGCTGTTGGTGCATTTCAGTCAATCACAATTAAAGTCCTTACTAATAAATAAAGAGTAAATCTTATATACACATACAGTGTATATATATATTATTAATATATAAAAAAATTAATCCATCAATAAATAAACAAACCTATAAAATCTAGTTAAGCCACTCTCTTTTGCTTAGAGGTGTGACCGAGTCAAGTTGTAAAAAAAGAGGTACTCAAGCTTTAACTTGAATTCGACCGCATTGGGTACCTTTTTTAGAATTTGAACTCGACTCTAGCACGACTTGAACTTGAAATTGAGTTCAATCAAACATTCTTGGTTAAAGTGAAAAAGATTTAACCATAATTTAACCTACCAGCAATTATTAAACCCAAACTGCTTAAACTTAAATTAGTATTCAAATGATAAAAACAAATTCGCCATGACTAAATGGAAGCAGTGATTCAATCAAAGAAAAAAATTTAAAACTGAAAACTAAAAATTTTGTTAGTATACAAACAGAACGTAAATGTTAAATAATACTAGAAAAACTAAAAATTAAAAATTAATAGGCTTGCGAGCATAGAATGTTAAACTTCGAAGTCGACTCAATTTTACTGCCAGAATGATTCAAAGCTTAAACTTGCAATTGATAAAATCGAGTCGAGTTGAGCACCAAACTACTCCAACAATCCCAACTAATGCTAGAAAAAAAATATGTCAATAAGGCTGAAGTAATGCTAGACCATTGCCTTTTTCTTTCAAAAAACCATCTAGAGCACCCCTATTTGTACTTTCTTAAAATAGTATCCCAATCATGGTAGGATTGGGTTTATTGAAACTGAAAAATTATTTTTGGGGGTGTTTTTAAAAAATTTTACTATGACAATATATATAAAAAAATTTTAAAATATTTGATATATTATATGAATGAGATGTTTTTTGAATTATTGTGTATCACTGTAATATTGTATTTAAAAAACTTATTTTTTGAAAAAATGACCAATCCAAGTGAACGAAGCGTTTTTGTGCATTTTTTCATAGAAGTCCGGCCCAATGACCGGTCCAAAATTCGGCACCCGGTCATTGGGATAGAGCAACTTCGGCAAAAAAATTGCAGCAACATTTGGTGCTGATTGTCATAGATCTGCGTGCGGATCTGTCTACAAATCCTATTTGGATGCCGATAACTCTATGAAGGAGGTTGAATCAGATTTTTCACGTAACATAAAAAGTTATATTCCTTTGAATTAACTATCCAATGCCGCACGAATCATTTCATTTGAAGATCTAGACGTTGAGATATATTCAAAATACTGAGAATTGGTTGAAAGAATATCATAGCAAAAATATAATTCAATATTTTGGACTTTTAGTTATAGAAATGCGAGAATTAGGTCTAATGTCTTCATAAGAATTGTAAATCATTTTTTTAGTTTCATAATAAATCAAAAATCATTTCAATCCGATTTTTGTAGTTTAAGTTATCGTCAAAATATTGAGATATATCATTCATGTTAGAGAACTCCTTTCTCTTCACTTCTTCCATTGCTTTTTTGAGCTACGGTTTTTGTCCGTTTTCTCACCAATTAAACTTTATATATATTAGAACAATATAAAAGCAAAATTAAGCAGTTTCTATTCAAATTATAAGTCAAATATCATAATTAACTAGCAACTCATACATATAATGATATTACAATTTATACCCTGTCATATACATACATATGTATGTATGTATATATACGTATATAGAGCCGTATTTTCTCTTCAAAGTTTCCATTTAATATTTAGTAGTTTTTCCTATGGTGCGGTGGTGCCTACATGTACTTGTGGTGCATATTCACTGGGACAACTCTAGACTTGTATCATAGTAGTACTTAGTAAGATTTATTATAACTACCAATCATTCACTGCCGATCTCAAAATTCATTACTGCTATCTCTTTCCAGTGAAAACCATCCCTCCCCTGCGGTGTGAGATTATGGACTGTTACTGCTGCTACACTCAAGCTAGGCCATCATCTTCCACAATACCAATTCTCAACTTCCAGGTATGCAAATTCTTGATAAGCCCATCATTTTTCTTATCTGTAAATTTTCTTGCTTTATGGCAAGTACTGGATGGTGTAATAATTTAGTTCATTTCTTAAAGTCGTTTTTGTGGATATTGTCAAAATATATTTGTGATTATGAAATTTAAACTCTTCTGATTGAGTTTTATTTTTAAAATTTATTTATTGCCCACTAGGATTTAGGATCTTTAAAGTAGTGCTGCAGATTGGTTCTGTTAATTGATTAGATAATTATTAGTCTCTTTAAAGAATGGGATTGTCATGCTGAGTTTTAGCAAACACTTTTAGACACATGCACGCCTGCAGACAACCTGATTATGAGTGTAGGATTGTGTTCAATTTTTTTTTTTTTGGTCTTTGTGTATGTGGGTATGTGTGTGTTTTTCTCCCTTACCCTATTTGGGATGGCAAATTTTAGGTTCCCAGTTGTTGTTTTGAGTTGGTATTGCAACCTTATGGATATGAAATACATGATGGATCGAAAACTAGACATGTAGACTATTAATAGGTGGTTGTACTGTTAAATAGGGGTACAATGTTGAAGGCCAGCGAGAACTCTGAATCGGTTGTTGGAGAACAACGTGGCTGTTGATTTTGAATATCAAAATCAGTAGCCAAAAGGTGTCTGACTAAATTATTTTACAATGGCTGCAGTTTCACTTTAAGTTTTCCAATTAATATTAAACCGTGGATGCAACTTTAATTTTAGGGACATATTCGTGCTGATGTTTGTTGATCGTGTAGGGTCCATTTTTTACCACACCCTATGCATTTGTTTAGGTTGTAATTAGCATGAGTGTATTACAATTCAACAAACATTTCTTGTTTTTTCTTTTCTTTCAATCTTCAGTTTGGAATTGATTATGTGTATATTAATGCCTGTCAGAAAATCATATACTGCTCAGTAGTCTAGGGCCTGATTTTAGTGCCTCTTTTCCTTCTAAATGATTGATTCTCATTGAATGATGTTCTCCCTTTGTTGCTCATCCTTCTCCGTATATGAGCTTATAAAAAATGCATATGTGAATTTGATTTCTTTGACTATGTGAAGACTTTACGATGGTGGCTATTTCAATCTCATAGTGACATAATGCGTGATTTGACATCCTCTGAGACACCCTTATTTACTGGTATACTTCAGAAATGATTACTCTGCATTTGACCATCCATTGTTTGCTTTAGCATTAAATTCAGTTTCATTGTAACCTTCTATGTTGGTAACACGATGCCCTAAATATGGCAGAGTGTCTCTGCAGTTAATAGAAACTTTTCTGTGAAAAATCTGCATCCAAGAGTGCTGCCGTCTCCTGGATCTTGTCGACAATTTGGTCGACTCAGTGACCAATTTCGGCCTTTCATTTACCAAAGAAACTCAGAATTACCCTCTTCAAGAACATACAGGGGTCGAATTTCCTCAGAAGCTGGAAGGCAAGGCTGGGACTTTGGCCGATTTCTAAAGACATTCTACTTCTTTAACGGGCCTCCTTCTCCTGCAAAGGTTGTTATTGAGTTGTGCTTTATCTCATATAGTTCTACTCTTCAGCTTTCAGTGTTCATCTAACAAGGCTCATATGTCTATGAAGTTCTTTGAATTTCTGATTGAGAAACTGTCCAATCCGTCACCTAGCAAAACAGAAAACAGAATGGACCCTTCAGGTGTAATCCTTGTGGCTGGAGCAACAGGTGGTGTTGGGAGAAGAGTATTTGACATTTTGCGTAGTAAAGGATATACCGTTAAAGTGCTGGTATTTTTCCTTGTACTTATATTGTATACTTGCAAGTATGTTATGTCTCCTTCGGACATGCTAATGCTGTCAAAACTTAATAAAAGAAATTAAAAGAAATTGTGAAACTTAAGGAATATCTTTATTGAAATCATTCAAATCTTAGTTTTAGGTGTATATTATATTTTTTTTCTTTATTTTGTCTTTTTATTTTGTACTATTTGGTCATGATAAAAGGATTCTTCCAGGTCAGAAATGAAGATAAAGCA